CCGAAACCCTGCACCCTAAACCCTACCCTACACCCTAAACCCTACACCCTAAACCCTACACCCTAAACCCTACACCCTAATCCCTACACCCTAAACCCTACACCCTACACCCTAAACCCTACACCCTACACCCTACACCCTAAACCCTAAACCCTAAACCCTAAAAGCCCCAATCCCTAAACCCTAAGCCGTCTGACTGCAAGCTAGGAGCCGACAGCAGCAACTCCTGGAATGCTGTGGTCGACCTCAACAGGTACTACTTGGAGGTTCATGGGTAGCTATAAGCGGTGTTTTATGTCCCGACTTCAATAGGAACCCTGCCATGGGAATACCAGCCTACTTGGAGGGTTTAGGGTTTAGGGTTTAGGGATGGGTAGTTAGGCGGGGTTGTAAGTCCCCTAATATTGGTTATAATTATAGTTACCCTACTTATAACCCTACTAACAACTACCCATGAACCTCCAAGTAATGTAGGAGCCGAGAGAGCCCATTACCCCTTTAATAAGGAACAAAACCTTGGATCATAATATTAAGTCTTACCCCCCTTAAATCAGGAATATACCTTTAATTATCGGGGCCTTCACATTGTGATTTAAGGTGTATTCCGTATTTAAGGGGTATTGGGCTCTCTGGGAACCCGATTAAGACACCCTGGGCCTTGATTCGGGTTCCTTATATGAGTCCTACTCTTTTGGGGTTCTAGGACCACGGTTTCTTCATCAGGTTCCTAGATTATGCCATACGGTTTGGGGTTTAGAGATTGGGTAGCGTTACGGTTGAGCACTTAAGGGTTTTGGTGCGATTAGAAAGTGTTTTTCCGTCTCCAGTGTGGAAGGCAAGAACCCAGTAAACCAGCACACCTGCGTTAAGAAGCCCATTTTTATGCTTCGGTACTCCCCATCGGTCAACGGCTTAGGGTTTCTTACTAAGGCTGGTTTCAACCTGATGCTCGTCTCGCAGTAGGCCTTCTTCTTACGAGTAGGTTCACTCAGCTGGAAGTCGGTTGCATGACAGTACTGCGCATCGAATCACGGAACATGAATGAAAATACCTGAGGTACCAGTAGCAGGACTGTGCTGGAACTCCCCCTCCTAACAACCAGGGCAAGCATCATTGCTGGTGCACCCTTAACTCCACTTCACTCTAAACCCTAAATTGCTGAAAGCTGTAAGCCGTAGAGACCAAACCCCAAAACTCGAACCCCTTAATCCCTCAACCCCAAACCCTGAACCCGATGTTGCACACAAGACTGCAACAACTTCCACCCGGCAAGTAAATTCCTGAGCTCGGTAGTGGAGCCATCAATGCCCTGCTCTAAGGTGATATTCCCACAGCGGGGCGGATACCTCAATTAAGTTTCATGCGCCCTTTCTTGGCCACTTCTAATGATTCTAATGCTAGAGGCAAGACACGAGCCACCCCGCCCCCACCCCCAAGCATGGCAGCGCCCTTTTTTCAGTGGAAAACTGTCGCACAAGCAGCCGGCGCGCAGCAGCTCGCCAGGACCTTTGTTACAACACAAAACCCAAAACTCTAAACTTACGGGTCCAGTGTCCCAGGGGTTGAAAAGTTAAAAGAATCATACTACACAAAACAAGATTGAAGGTTATTTATTCTAGTACTACTACTACCACCACCACT